AGATGAAGTCAATTCAGGCTACAGGGGGCTCCAGCATGGAGGATGATGAGCCAATTAAGAACCAGGGAAAGGAAATTCCGGGTGGAGGGAACGACAAGGACCTGCAGGTCTAAGGCAGCATGGGCTATTGAGGAATTGCATGTGTTGTCTGGTCAGGCTGCAGTCCGGGGTGTTAGCAGGACGAGGCTGGCCAGGCTGGGCATCATAGAGGGCCTCACAGACCACACCAAGGAGCTTTGCTGTGATCCCAGGGGGCAGAGCCGATGAAGGTGTGCTGTTGGGATTACACCTCAAGCACTAGATTCAAATCTGGGGTGCCCCATGTCTAGGTGAACAGTTACAAATCAGTTGTCCAGAAAGGGCAATGGAAGGAGGCATGGGTAATGTAACTTAAGATTTTAGGTCAGGGTAGGGGTGAAACCCATGGCAAGACTGACAGCTGTTTTCAAATCTCTGAAAAGCTGTCATGTGGAAGGAGGGGTGTAGATGTGGTCAACTTGTTCTTTATTCTCCAAAGGATGGAACTAAAACCAATGTGTAGAAATTTCAAGGGCGGAGAGTACGGATCAGCACGAGCTGCTTTAACTACGCTGATGATTCAAACTGCCTGACAATGAAACAGAACAGTCTCAGGTGCCTTACTGTGGACCAAGAGGATTCTAGTCAACGATCTTTCAGACACACGGCCAAAACGCCATCTCTAGGGGAACAGAAGCTACAACTTCAGTTTATGATATGTTGTCACAAGCTCCAGTCCGTCTGTCTGCCCCACTTTTAAGCTGTGTACCTGTGTATTCCTGAAAAGAAGGAGCCCTGGTGGTGCGGTGGTTAAGTGCTTGGCTGCTCACTGAAAGGTTGGCGGTTCGAACCCACCAGCCGCTCCATGGGAGAACGCTGTGGTAGTATGCTTCCGTAAAGATTTACAGCCTTGGAAACCTTATGGGGCAGTTCTACCCTGTCCTACTGGGTCACTATGAGTTGGAATCGACTTGATGGCAACAGGTTTGGCTTTGGTCTCGGTATTCCTGAAGAGCGATGCCTTGCTGTAGACACAGCGTGTGAACGAGAAGACTCCTGAGATGGGGAAAACCCAGTTTCAGTCAAAACGACGACTGAGAGTGAAGCAACGCCATGGAGACGGCAGCAGAAATACAAACGGCAGACGCAGCAAACGGTTCCAGTTACCTACCACAGAGCACGTGATTTATGTGTGCAGCGGAGAAGACCTGCATCTTTAACTATCAAGATTAACAATTCACGCTATTGTAGAAATCCTTATTAACAGCAGACTGGGGGGGCAGGATTAACACCTTCCTGGGAAGCTGTTAACCGTTTCATGAAGAGGAGAACATATAGAGCCCACTTACGTTTTCTGCCTCTCGGGTTTACTGGTAAGGTACTGTACCACTGACAGTACATGCTGCCAGCAGGCGGGGTCCTTTATAACTGTTCGAAACAGACGAAGTGGGTGTGTGTCACAAATTACTGTTTTTACAGGGTATTGTATGGTCGTGCTGAATTGATTTTTTTTTAGATTCAGATTTCAAAATATAGATTTTGAAAAATTTTTATGTGGGATATGTATGTCCCTCTGGACTCTGGGGGTAGAATTTTTGGGATGAGGCTAGAAAAAAATCTATATTACCTACCAAAAATTCAGACACACTCAATGATTCAGCATGCATTCCATTAATGAAAAAACATTACATAAACAAAAAATTAAAAAGAACAATTAATTCATTTACGAATTAAAATAGGTTTTCATTGTATGTTCAACAATCCTCTATAATCAGAGTAGGAACTAAAACCCTTAAACCAAACTCATTGCCGTCCAGTTGACTCTGACTCATAGAGACCCTATAGGATGAGTAGAACTGCC